TGTAGGGAGCCACTAATCATAGTGCAGTGTCATCTTCTGAGCCTGCCTGGGATCTGTAGGGAGCCACTAATCATAGTGCAGTGTCACCTTCTGAGCCTGCCTGGGGTCTGTAGGGAGCCACTTATCATAGTGCAGTGTCACCTTCTGAGCCTGCCTGGGATCTGTAGGGAGCCACTAATCATAGTGCAGTGTCATCTTCTGAGCCTGTCTGGGATCTGTAGGGAGCCACTAATCATAGTGCAGTGTCATCTTCTGAGCCTGTCTGGGATCTGTAGGGAGCCACTAATCTTGTTGTAGTGTCACCTTCTGAGCCTGTCTGGGATCTGTAGGTAGCCACTAATCATGTTGTAGTGTCACCTTCTGAGCCTGTCTAGGGTCTGTAGGGTGGTTTGGAGCTGTCTATATGTTATTGACATCATGTAACATTTGCTACATGAACATCATTCTGTATGGTGTTGATAAAGCAGCAAGGGTTGTATACTCCCAGGGGAGTTGAGCTTGATAATAATATGTGCCGGTGAGATTGACATCCAATCATCGAGGGGAAAATACCAGCGCCTTGAGCATGCACTAGTGCGTGGATATGTGCACTACATAAACATCCTATAATGATGATAAAGAGAATTTCATGGGTGTCAACTTCTATATTATGAGGAGTGAGTGAGTGAGTTTGGTTTTACGCCGCTTCTAGCAATATTCCAGCAATATCACGGCGGGGGACACCAGAAATCGGCTTTAACACATTGTTGCCCATGTGGGGAATCGAACCCGGGTCTTCGGCGTGACGAGCGAACGCCTTAACCACTAGGCTACCCCACCACCCCATATTACGAGGAACACAACGTTTCGAGGTATATATTTACTCCTTCATCAGGTGAATGAATTCTATGAGGTATTTTGTTGTTCTTACGTGTACATTTATGTGCTCTTGCCACACCTGTCCGGTTGATGCACAGGTGTCCTCAGGTTGTGAATTGTCTCATTCTACTGTTTCTCATGGCGCGTGCATCAGCCACATTAGACTGGTCAGCCTTCAGCACGTTCACCTTTAACGTTTGTAAAGCGTGACATGAGAATTGTTTATCTCGAGAATTGTTGACGAGTATTTTTTTTGTAATCACCAGCAAGTGGTTGGTGGGTAGGCAAATGATATTATGGTCACGTGACCCCTGCACACGTGCATGGTGGCGTTTTCCCAAAGAGGTGTGCTGCGGCGTGGTTCACCATAGTTGCTGACAGGACGGATGCGTCATGTCCGACCTGGCCAGTATGGCATTCGCTCACATTTTACTATATACTTTACTACTGAAAATGAGAAGGACAGTATGTGGTGGTGGAATTGGGTTTAACGTCGTGCTTTAGAATATTTCGCTCATGTGACGACGTACATGCGTGTGTATGTGTATGTGTATGTGTGGCTGCTTGTACTAGCCCAGACTTAAGCTGGTTTTATAGTGCTAGCCCACTAGATACCATGCTGCAGTGAAGCATGAATAACCCACTCAGACACAGTATACTGACTCCGAGCCGACCAGTCCTTGTTGTACCCATTAATGCCGAGCGCCATGCAGGGACCAACAAGTACCATATTTTAACGTCTTTTGGTATGACGCGGTCGGGGATCGAACTCCGCGACCTTCCGCACTCCGGGCGGACGCTCTAACCCACTACACCACGGAGGCGGTCCAGCAGTACAGTATAATGTTCAGTATAATAAGCATGTACATAATATGCACTGGTGTCAACGCAGTCATGGAGATGTCATGCCATATCTGTAGTGTGCCTTACGTTGACATTCGACATGGCGTTGGTGAGGGCACCTCCAAATATATGCCAACGCCTGTTGAGAGAAGACCCGAGAAGATCCGGGTTAGAATTGATTTTCAGTAACCCATCATTGTCGTAAGAGGCGACTAACGGAATCAGGTGACCAGGCTCGCTGACTTGGTTGACACATGTCCTTGTATCCAAATTCCGTAGGTCGATGCTTATGGTGTTGATCACTGGATTGTCTGATCCAGACTCGATTATTTACAGACCGCCGCCATATAGCTGGAATATTGCTGAGTGCGGCGTAAAACAACAAACCAATCAACCTATCAAGAAAATCCACATTCACTGTGGACGTTTTAAAACATAACGTGATATCGTCAGCAATTGCAGCAAAAAGCTAGTTAAAGATTAGTGGTCGGTGCCTTTAATCCCGGCGGTCTGGCGGTTTGGGTCCGTTATCTTAAATTCAGGAGCGTCATATGACGTCATCAAAGATACGTCAATATGATTCTTGTATTCTTTGACGTAGTTGTTTACTGTCAGGTGATAAAATTTTGTCGTTAAGTCGGCTAAGTGACGTTAAACTTCATATAAGAGACATTCGATGTGATCGTGGCGTCATTTGACGTCTTTAGTGTCATTTGAGGCAATCCTAGCGTCATTTGACGTTATGTTGGACCGTCAGATGACCATGTGATGCCCTGGGGTGCTGCTGTCGGTTCCTCTCTCGGTTAGTGCAAATGACTTTTTGGACTTTGTGACGTCGTGGACTACACGTTCCCAATCTTATCACAGATTCAACAACTGTGCCAGGGGACTTATCTGTTACCGTGGATACTGAACGTCAGCATTACTAATGACTCAGAGCAAGTTAACGATCTTTGAAGTGCTAAATTCAAGATCGGCTCCTACCAACGTTGAAGAATCATTTTCTTGTCGACGTGCAACCTTTCGGGTGCGACAGGGCGTTACGTTTTCGATCCAAAACCGATATTTTAACGGTACTTAGTTTTTTTCTGATATGACTATCCATCAATCATGACATTTGTTTCATTCCTGATTTTCATATGGGTATCATATTCATAGCTCTATGCTTACGTTCTCGAATCAGTATTTTTGTATTTGGGTACATGTGCCCGTGCCAAGGCCTGCTTTACACCGTTAATGGCTCGGTTGCATAACAAACACAAGAGACTCAAACAAATCAATTAATTACTTCCTGCAAATGATGGCGGTCTATAAATAGTTAAGCATCTGGTGGTTCACGCCAGGATCATTGATCCACTGATTACTTCGTGGAACACGACGGCAATCAGCGACTACCCAGTTGTCCTAACGATACATGCGTTGACCTACTTAGCGGCAGACTTGTCCGTGCACTACCACTGCAGTTGCACACAGTTGTGACAGGATGTCATTACCCCATCTAACCAGCGTGCCCGATCTGGATTGGGAATGTCACCTTGACCGTGGAGCTACCGCAGTAACCTGCGCGATATACCAGGCTGAGTATATCTTCTTCGTTTAGACAGTCTCCAGAGTGAGTATATTTCCTTTGTTTAAACAGTCTCAGAAAACTGACAAGCGCGCTCGTCTTGGTATGGGTGTGTGTAAATACTGACTGCCGGCTAGTTGTAGGGCAGGTTACTAGAGTACTAAGGGTCCTGGGAAAGCAATGCTAAACACTACCCGGATCCTGAATAAACATCTACCTAGGACCCGTTTCGTCAAGTCATTGTTTACGTGTGACTCACAGTCTGAAGCCGTGTAGTTTTGTTTCTTGTTGTTTTACGCCGTACTCTACAATATTCCTTCTATATTGCTGCGGTCTGTAAAATAACCAGTCTCAACCAGACAGTCCAGTGATCAACATCGCGAGCTTCTGATACATTATCAGTCTGTCACACAGACCCTGAAACAAATATATCCAAGAATGCTCATTCAAGTCTAGAATTTGTGGCAAGTCTATATTACCACATAAAATCAATACACAATGCCATTTAGAAAGTGGTCAGATGTAACATATGTCATATTTGGGATTAGGCGATTAGGTGCCTGACTCTGAGGGTGTGGGTTCGAATCACGGATGGGACTCAACCAAACAAAAGAGCTAGAATTTGTACTTTACTTGGAAAGTGTAATCCCAAATATGACATTTGTTACGTTAGATTACCACAGTTTTGAAAATGAAGACAAAAAACCTCAGGGCTCCTTTTCATTATATTCAATATATATTTCTGTGATTTCTTTTTTCTGTAAAATATTTTAATTTCAGAGACTAGATGTTAGTCTAATACATAATATAAAGTCACATTACGGAAAGTATGAGCCAAAATAGCAGCATATATGCTTTCTTCAATCATAAAATATGAGGATGACAGAATCGTTTATTCCATATTCATAAAAGACTCTGTGTTAAATTGCTATTGGGGTTAGGCAGGGAATAATCATTTAGTGACATCTTTTGTTGCATACAGCGTACCTGGAATTTCAGATTAATAAAGGAGAAATGTAACAGCAGGAAAATGAATTACGACTTTTCATGCTACTTCGGGTACCGAATTTCTACCCAGATTTGGTCGTTGGAAATTTTTGTTATGAAACAATGAACTGAACAGCAAGACAGTGAGAACAAGGCGGATGTGTATATATACAGTAGTGTTATTGATCTATCTTTGTTTGCACTGAGAGCCATGGCAACGCTCACTACCAAATAAACCTCCCAGAAACAGAACAGAAATACTATTGTCATAGATACACGGCATAAAAAAGCGGAAACAACACCACTAAACAATCGCGAAAGGGAAACTAGAGTTCTGGCCAGGATAGCTCTGTCGCTGAGCTGTATTATTTCTCCTTCCACCTTGTCTGTCATACAGACCCTGAAACAAGCATATCCAAGAAAGCCCATGCTAGTCTAGATTATGTGGCAAGTCTAGATTTCCACAGTTTCATTGTTTATTATGAACTGTTTTTTTCTGTAAAATATGTTCAATTCAGATACTTGTTATTAGTCTACCTTCTACCCTGCCGTTTCTGTTATATAAAGGATCCAAATAAAGTCTATATTTCCGTTAGGAGCAGCTCGAATTTACCACTCTCCCTGCGGCTTATTTCCAGTTCATTTATGCAGTTGCTTTTTGTGAATTAAAAATATATACTTTCTGAGGCTAATTGTAAGATTATGCCAGGAGACAGGAAGCCGATATCAACTTCTGATTTGTTAACTTAAATCTCGCAAGGGGGTGACGTGACGCTAAAAATAGCTCGTCAATGAGTACTGAGTGACGTAACAATGGGAATTCCGGTTTTTAAAAGAGTTGTTGTAGAAACGACGCATCACTAGAAACTGGGAGATATTTTCATAAATACCCGAAGTCAGAGAGATGGGATCATGTATCGCCTCACGACAGCCATCATGTAAGTATTAGAGGAGTATTTGTCGATGTGAATCGAAAACACCGTGCTTCTTTTCTTTCGACTGGGTCGTCTTGTGGTCAAAGCATCCGCTCGTCACGACGAAGCGTATTTCTTGCATACCCCGCCGTGATATTGCTGGATTATTGCTAAAAGCGGCAAAACTAAATTCACTCATTCTTTTCGTGACCCGTTGTTATATTTTTATCCGTTTGGTGTCATATTACATCAAGAACTGGCTTTCTGCATTAACAACTGGCTTTCCTCTAAACACTGTAAACCCGTGAATATCCGGGGTAGAATAAGTCAATTATTGGCCCACGGGCGACTATCTTGGGGCGACTAACGGGATCGGGTGGTCAGTTTCGCTGACTTGGGGTGCGCAGATGGTTAGCCTACTTATTAAAGCGATTGCTCGTTGATTCGATGGCTCACATGGCTACAATGTGAGAAACCAATGTTCTGGTGTCCCCGTAATGATATTGTTGGAATATTGCTAAAAGCGGCGTAAAACTAAACTCACTCACTCACTTATTAGCCCGGTCCACACTTTTGAAATTACCTGGATCCGCCTATCATCTTTACTAATCAACAACTGACACATGTCTAATAAAACGTACACACACTTTCCTGTCACTGTCCCACATCTGAAGTGTCTTTCATAGATCACAGGTTATTGCATATTCAGTGATACCATTTTATCCCGAGTTTAAAAAAAAAATGTGTATATAATGTACGTGTTGATCAGTTTTATATCACTTTAAAAATGAGAGCTCAGTTAATTCCAGAACATGCAGGAGAATGTTTTCTTCAGATTGTGCAGTGTGTTTGTGTGTGTGGAGGGGGGATGTGCAAGTGGATATTGTGAATAATGAATGGAATATTCGGGCTACACCGAGACTCACAATGCAGGGTAGAGAAGTGGTTTGTGTGGGTGTTGGTGGGGTGCAGTGTGTTTGTGTGTGTGGAGGGGGGATATGCAAGTGGATATTGTGAATAATGAATGGAATATTCGGGCTACGCCGAGACTCACAATGCAGGGTAGAGAAGTGGTTTGTGTGGGTGTTGGTGGGGTGCAGTGTGTTTGTGTGTGTGGAGGGGGGATGTGCAAGTGGATATTGTGAATAATGAATGGAATATTCGGGCTACGCCGAGACTCACAATGGGTAGAGAGAAGTGGTTTGTGTGGGTGTTGGTGGGGTGCAGTGTGTTTGTGTGTGTGGAGGGGGGATGTGCAAGTGGATATTGTGAATAATGAATGGAATATTCGGGCTACGCCGAGACTTACAATGCAGGGTAGAGAAGTGGTTTGTGTGGGTGTTGGTGGGGTGCAGTGTGTTTGTGGAGGTTGGGGGTGGGGGGTTAGGGACTGAAAAGAGATTCCGGTATTTAGAATTGTTCTTCTTTCCGGACAAAATTGTAGAAAAGCCAAGTGTCCAGACAAGCGAGCTTGGACTGTATTTCGTTTCGTGTCTAATTTAACACAGCTGTCATCCGCTGTAGTTATACCTTCCTGGTCGACCTGAGACTCGAGATGTGTTGTATCAAACATTCTGGGGCTTCCGTGCATATATCAGCACACTGTTTGTTCTACTCTCACAGCAGTTAAACGTTTCAGTATTTCCTCGTTTTATGTGTTTTCGGACGTTTAAGAAAATGTAAAACCCGTAAACGCAAAACACCCGGAAACATATAGTGCTACAATATGCTTGTATCAGGTACATTGAATATAATAGTTTTTATTTGTGTTTGCAGGCACTCTAACATGGTCGCACTTCGAGCCACACAGAGACTCTTCTTGCTGACAATATGTAAGTACACTCTTGTGTGGTGGCTTCCAAAGTTATACCTCGTGAGAGGGTACGCACGTCCCAAACCAATTCAAGTACATTTAAACATGTTATTATTTTAACTGTACATGTATATATTTTATTTTAAGTTACGGCTAGATTGTCAAAATTGCCAACATCTGAAGGAATGATGTAAATCCAGCTAGGGTCTATGCAGGTAGCAAAGGCACTATAATTCCCCAAGGACCCTAGTATGGTGATCTACCTTCAGTTGTTGGCGATCTATAGACTGTTTTTATATTGTATTGTCTTCATGTTAAGATATATTAGATTTTCATACTAGTTTTACATTAATATAAATGTAATGTTGTAGTTATTTTACTCTCCTTTGCAGATATAAGTATATTATCTGAATTTGTTTTTACTCATTTATAAATTTACAACTTTCTTAGTCACGATATGGCTGAAATACTGCCAATGTGACTGTAAATTTTAACTCACTCACCCAAGTTAAACCGAAAGTAAGCCAAAATATATACATACAAGAATGTGTCATGAACTAATAAACAACAAAGAAATGCTATGCAACTGGTATAAGATTAACACGGTCTATAAATCAGTACCAGTTACTTCAGAGGAATCACTCTAGTAAATTGAGAAATATATTCAATGGCATTTATATTGCAATGACAATATCATATATACTGGAGGCATGTTATCACATAAACCCGCTGACACATTCGAGAGTGTGAAAACATCGATACATCCGTGGCCTACATTTGTACAGCACGGCCCGGTAGCCTACATGTGTACAGCACGGCCCGGTAGCCTACATGTGTACAGCATCGCCCGGTAGCCTACATTTGTACAGCATGGCCCGGTAGCCTACATTTGTACAACACGGCCCGGTAGCCTGCATTTGTACAGCACGGCCCGGTAGCCTACATGTGTACAGCATGATCCGGTAGCCTACATGTGTACAGCATGGCCCGGTAGCCTACATTTGTAACATGACCCAGTGGCCTTCATTCGTAACACACAGCCAAGTGGCTTAACACACAGCCAAGTGGCTTAACACACAGTCAAGTGGCTTAACACACAGCCAAGTGGCTTAACACACAGCCAAGTGGCTTAACACACAGCCAAGTGGCTTAACACACAGCCAAGTGGCTTACCACACGGTCAAGTGGCTTAACATACGGCCCAGTGGCTTAACACACAGCCAAGTGGTTTAACACACAGCCAAGTGGCTCAACACACGGCCCAGTGGCTCAACACATAGCCAAGTGGCTCAACACACAGCCAAGTGGCTTAACACACGGCCAAGTGGCACAACACACGGCCAAGTGCCTCAACACACAGCCCAGTGGCTCAACACACGGCCAAGTGGCTCAACATACAGCCAAGTGGCACAACACACGGCCCAGTGGCTCAACACACGGCCCAGTGGCTCAACACACGGCCCAGTGGCTCAACACACGGCCCAGTGGCTCAACACACAGCCAAGTGGCTCAACACACGGCCAAGTGGCTCAACACACAGCCAAGTGGCTCAACACACAGCCAAGTGGCTCAACACACGGCCCAGTGGCCAAACACACAGCCAAGTGGCTCAACACACAGCCCAGTGGCCAAACACACAGCCAAGTGGGTCAACACACAGCCCAGTGGCCAAACACACAGCCCAGTAGCCAAACACACAGCCAAGTGGCTCAACACACGGGCCAGTGGCTCAACACACAGCCAAGTGGCTCAACACACGGCCCAGTGGCCAAACACACGGCCAAGTGGCCAAGCACACGGCCCAGTGGCCAAACACACGGCCCAGCGGCCTGGTCTCCAATGAAAAATAAAATCAAGGCAAAGCTACTCGTCTGATTAACGCGTAGACCTCGAGTGACGAAACAATATCTTCAACCCACCTTGTAACCTTCTATCACGTGACTAAACAAGCACAACTTCTCGTGCAACACATGCCTCCACGGTAGACGGTCTAGACTACCGTTTTTACCCTAGATAAATTTATTTATCCTCTACCTCATACTTCCCTAGCTGCTCACCACCATGGCAAATGGTGAAACCACAGGTCGATCTTACCCTCACCAAACTCAAAAAGTCTGAAACAAATCCCTTGGTGTTCCAACAGGAATACAACCAGTTACGTTCGAAGTATAACACTCACATATCCATTTTCACAGACGGATCCAAGGAAGATGGCCAAGTTGCCAGCGCTACAGTCATTGGAGCCAAGACTGTCTCCTCTAGGATCCCCGACAACAGTTCCATTTTCACTGCTGAAGCCAAAGCTATCTTCTCCGCTTTGACCTACATTCAACAGCAAAAAAATCCAAAAACTTCATCGTTTTCACAGATTCATTATCCTGCCTTGAAGCACTTCAAAATGTGACTTCAAGTCACCCAATCATCCTGGACATATTAGAACTTTACAACGACCTTTCTACTGGCCAATGTGACATGGTCCTCTGCTGGTTGCCGGGTCACATCGGCATAGCAGGTAACACCAAGGCCGATGCTGCAGCAGCTGTATCACAAATTTATAGCATCAAATTTATAGGCAGGCAATTTGTTAGTCACGTTTCATAGTTACAATTTATGGTTGTTACATTTCGCAGTTGCAATTTGTGATACAGATCAACTTCCCTCAGGTAGTTCACTATGAGATGAGCGCTCACGCAGGAGAACAGATCTTTTAGGTTTGTTGCATCATAATGTGAGTCCCTTGCAGACGATAAGTCCACGCATTCAAGCAGAATATGCTTGATGGTGAAAACCTCACCGCAAGAGACACACGTGAGGGGTCCATCCCCATCCGTTTTCAGCAGATAGTTATGTGTAAATCGACTGTGGCCAATACGACATCGTCGTAAAATTACCTCATCACGTCTTGACTGACAACCCAAGTAGGTATAACCGATTGTTGGCTTCAATTCATGGAGTTTGTTTCTTCCTGCTTGAGTGCCCCACCTATTTTGCATCAGGTCCCGAGTATAGCTTTTGATAGTGGGTTTGAAATCACTGTACGGGATTAGCAGTGGAGATAGGGGCTTGTCATGAGCTGCGTTTGCTGCAGCATCGGCCTTGGTGTTACCTGCTATGCCGATGTGACCCGGCAACCAGCAGAGGACCATGTCACATTGGCCAGTAGAAAGGTCGTTGTAAAGTTCTAATATGTCCAGGATGATTGGGTGACTTGAAGTCACATTTTGAAGTGCTTCAAGGCAGGATAATGAATCTGTGAAAACGATGAAGTTTTTGGAATTTTTTGCTGTTGAATGTAGGTCAAAGCGGAGAAGATAGCTTTGGCTTCAGCAGTGAAAATGGAACTGTTGTCGGGGATCCTAGAGGAGACAGTCTTGGCTCCAATGACTGTAGCGCTGGCAACTTGGCCATCGTCCTTGGATCCGTCTGTGAAAATGGATATGTGAGTGCTATACTTCGAACGTAACTGGTTGTATTCCTGTTGGAACACCAAGGGATTTGTTTCAGACTTTTTGAGTTTGGTGAGGGTAAGATCGACCTGTGGTTTCACCATTTGCCATGGTGGTGAGCAGCTAGGGAAGTATGAGGTAGAGGTAGGGAGGTGTGAGGTACAGGTGGGGAGGTGTAAGGTACAGCTAGGGAGGTATGAGGTAAAGCTAGGGAGGTGTGAGGTACAGGTGGGGAGGTGTGAGGTACGGCTAGGGAGGTGTGAGGTACAGCTAGGGAGGTGTGAGGTACAGCTAGGGAAGTGTAAGATGCAGCAAGGGAGGTGTGAACTACAACTGGGGAGGAGTGAGGTACAGCTAGGGAGGTGTGAGGTACAGGTGGCAGGCGTGAGGTACACTTAGGGAGGTGTGAGGTACAGCTGGGGAGGTGTGTGGTACAGTTAGGGAGGTGTAAGTTACAGCTGGGGAGGTGTGTGGTACAGCTGGGGAGGTGTTAGTTACAGCTGGGGAGGTATGAGGTACAGTTAGGGAGGTGTGAGGGAAAGCTGGTGAGGTGTGGGATACAGGTGGGGAGGTATGAGGTACAGCTAGGGAGGTGTGAAGTGCAGCTAAGGAGATGTAAGGTACAGCTGAGGAATAGTGAGGTACATTTAGGGAGGTGTGAGGTACAGCAAGGGAGGTGTGAGCTACAATTAGGGAAGGGTGAGGTACAGATAGGGAAGTGTAAGGTGCACCTGGGGTGGTGTGAGGGAAAGCTGGGTAGGTGTGACGTACTGGTAGGGAGGTGTGAGGTACAGTTAGGGAGATGTGATGTACAGCTAGGTAGGTGTGAGGTACAGGTAGGGAGGTGTTAGATGCAGGTAGGGAGGTGTGAGGTACAGGTAGGGAGGTGTGAGATACAGCTAGGGAGGTGTGAGGTAGAGCTGGAGAGGTGTGAGGTATAGCTGGGGGGGTGGTGAGATACAGCTGGGGAGGTGTGAAGTACAGGTTGGGGGTGAGGTACAGGTAAGGAGGTGTGCGGTGAAGGTGGGGAGGTGTGAGGTACAGGTGGGGAGGTTTGAGTTAGAGATGGGGAGATGAGAGATAAAGCTGGGAAGGTGTGAGGTACAGCTGGGGAGGTGTGAGGTGTACGTGGGTAGGTATGAGGTTACAGATAAGGCGTGGTAAGGTGTACCGCTGGGGGGGTGAGGTACAGGTGGGCAGGTGTGAGGTACAAATGGGGAGATGTGAGGTGCAGCTGGGGAGGTGGGAGGTACTGTTAGGGAGGTGTAAGGTACAATTAGGGAGATGTGAGATACAGATGGGGAGGTGTGAGGTACAGCTAAGGAGGATTGAGGTACAGCTAGGGAGGGTGTAAGGTGGGTAGGTATGAGGTTACAGATAGCGTGGTAAGGGGTACAGCTGGGGAGATGTGAGGTACAGGTGGGCAGGTGTGAGGTACAGATGGGGAGATGTGAGGTGCAGCTGGGGAGATGTGAGATACAGCTGGGGAGGTGTGAGATAACGCTGGGAAGGTGTGAGGTACAAATATGGAGGTGTGAGGTGCAGCTAGGCATATGTTAGGTACAGTTAGGGAGGTGTGAGGTACAGCTGGGGAGATGTGAGATACAGATGGGGAAGTATGAGGTACAGCTAAGGAGGATTGAGGTACAGCTAGGGAGGGTGTAAGGTACTGCTGGGGAGGAGTGAGGTACAATTAGGGAGGTGTGAGGTACAGCTAAGGAGGTGTGAGGGAAAGCTGGGGACGTGTGACGCACTGGTAGGGAGGTGTGAGGTACAATTAGGGAGATGTGAGATACAGCTAGGTAGGTGTGAGATACAGCTTGGCGTGTGTGAGATATAGCTAGGGAACAGTGAGATACAGCTAGGGAGGTGTGAGGTAAAGCTAGGTAGGCGTGAGGTACAGCTAGGTAGGTGTGAGATACAGCTAGGGGGGTGTGAGATACAGCTAGGGAGGTGTGAGGTACAGCTAGGGAGGTGTGAGGTACAGCTAGGGAGGTGGGAGGTACTGTTACGGAGGTGTGAGGTACAATTAGGGAGATGTGAGATACAGATCGGGAGGTGTGAGGTACAGCTAAGGAGGATTGAGGTACAGCTAGGGAGGGTGTAAGGTACAGCTGGGGAGATGTGAGATACAGATGGGAGGTGTGAGGTACAGGTATGGAGGTGTGAGGTACAATAAGGCAGGGGTGAGGTACAATTCTGGAGGTGTGAGGTACAGCAAGGGAAGAGTGAGATACAGCTAGAGAGGTGTGAGGTACAGCTTGGCGTGTGTGAGATATAGCTAGGGAACAGTGAGATACAGCTAGGGAGGTGTGAGGTACAACTAGGGAGGTGTGAGATACAGCTAGGGAGGTATGAGGTACAGCTAGGGAGGTGTGAGGTTCAGGTGGGGAGGTGTGAGGTACAACTAGGGAGGTGGGAGGTACACCTTGGGAGGTGTGAGGTAAAGCTAGGGAGGTGTGAGATACAGCTAGGGAGGTGTGAGGTAAAACTAGGGAGGTGTGAGATACAGCTAGGGAGGTGTGAAGTACAGTTATGGAGGTGTGAGGTACAGTTAGGGAGGTGTGAGATACAGGTGGGGGGGGTATGAGGAACAGTTAGGGAGGTGTGAGGTACAGTTAGGGAGGTGTGAGGTTCAACTGGGGAGGTGTGTGGTACAGTGAGAGAGGTGTGAATTATAGCTGGGGACGTATGAGGTACAGTTAGGGAGGTGTGAGGTACAGGTGGGGAGGTGTTGGATACAGGTGGGGAGGCATGAGGTACAACTAGGGAGGTGTAAAGTGCAGCTGGGGCGGTGTAAGGTACAGCTATGGAGGTGCGAGGTACAGATAGGGAGGTGTAAGGTACAGCTAGGGAGGTGCGAGGTACAACTAGGGAGGTGTGAGGTACAGATAGGGAGGCGTGAGGGACAGATGGGGAGGTGAGAGGTACAGCTGGGGATTTGTGAGGTACAGCTACGGAGGTGTGTGGTACAGCTAGGGAGGTCTGAGGTACAGGTGGGAGGTTTGAGGTACAGATGGGGAGGTGTGAGGTACAGGTGGGGAGGCGTGTGGTACAGCTATGGAGTTGTAAGATACAGGTCGGGAGCTTTGAGGTACAGTTAGGGATGTGTGAGGTACAGTTAGGGAGGTGTGAGATACAGCTGGGGAAGTGTGTGGTACAGTTAGGGAGGTGTGAGGTACACTTAGAAAGCTCTGAGGTACAGCTGTGGAAGTGTGTGGTACAACTGTGGAGGTGTGAGTTACAGCTGGGGAGGTATGAGGTACAGTTAACCAGGTGTGATGTACTGCTATGGACGTGTGGGGTACAGGTGGGGAGTTGTGAGATACAGCTGGGGAGGTGTAAGGTACAGCTGGGGAGGTGTGAGGTACAATTAGGGAGGTGTGAGGTACAGCTAGTGAGATGTGAGGTACAATTAGGGAGGAGTGAGTGTACAATAAGGGAGGGGTGAGGTACAGCTAGGGAGATGTAAGGTACAACTAGATAAGTATGAGGTACAGGTAGGGAGGTGTGAGGTACAGCTAGGGATGTGTGAGGTACAACTGGGGAGGTTGAGGTACAGCTGGGGAGGTGTGAGGATCAGTGAGTGAAATGTGATGTACAACTAAGGAAGTGTGAGGTACAGCTAGGGAGGTGTGAGGTAAAATTAGGGAGGTGTGAGGTACAGCTAGGGAGATGTGAGGTACAATTAGGGAGGGGTGAGGTACAGCTAGGCAGGTGTGAGATAAAGCTGGGGAGGTGTAAAGTACAGTTAGTTAGGTATGAGGTACAGGTATGGAGGTGTGAGGTATAGCCGGGGATATTTGAGGTACAGCTGGGGAGGTGTTGTTGCATCTGTAACGTGTAAGATACAGCTGGGGAGGTGTGAGGTACAGCTAGGGAGGTCTGAGGTACAGGTGGGGAGGTGTGAGGTATAGCTAGGTAGGTGTAAGGTACAACTTGGTAGGTATGAGGTACAGCTAGGGAGGTGTGAGGTACAGGTGGGGAGGTGTGAGGTTCAGCTGGGTAGGTTTGTGGTACAGCTGGGGAAGGTGTGAGGCAGAGACTGCCGTGCTCCGAACAATCTATGGATCGCGGCCCGGGTCGTTGTGACCATTTGACAATGAGAGTCATGTTTGTATGTTTACTAACTAACTGCTTAACACTCATTTTGCAATAAATGAAAAAGGTCAAGCTACCCGGATTCCAACCGTGACTGAGTGAATCAGGCAATGCCCACATATATATCTGAGTGTGTGTGTTTACATCGCGATATATCTGAGATGAATTTCTCCACTAACTTAGGGGAACCAACTGCAAACCTTATTCAGTTGAATTGCACGAGGATCATGCATCAAATGATGAAGAGCATGTGCAAATATCGTGCAATGTGAACAGCTACGTTTTGGTGTAAAGTTTTGTTAAGGATTCAACAATTTTCATCATTTATTGAACTCATGACAATAATTTTTTCAACGTTACGACATTTTTTACAGTACATGAGTTCATGTGTAAACAGTACCTTTAAACAGTATGGAATATTTTGCAAAATCTAGTTTATAACAGTTGGCTGAAGTGGCTACACACTAGTGAGACTAAACCTTTGATGACAAGTATATGTTCGTTTCCTGCTTATCAGCTGAAGTAAGTGGCTACATTTACACTAGTGAGTCTAAACCTTTGATGAGAAGTAGACGTACGTTTCCTGCTTATCAGCTTACGCTTGTTTGATGTTAACGCCGTATTCAGAAATATTCCAGTTACATGGCAGCTGTAAACAATCATACGAGACCAGACAATCCTGTGATCAACAGTATGAGCATCAAACTCCGGCAGTTGTAAAGATAACAACACTGAAACTGCATAATTTTAAATAAAATATTCGTCCAGGGTAATGTTCCAGCAATAGAGAAATACTACAATAATGATACCGGTACGTTTTTCCTGTAAAAAGCTGGACAAATGGGAGTGAGTGAGTTTAGTTTTAAGCTGCATTCAGCAACAACCCAGCTATATGGCGGCGGTCTGTAAAGAATCGAGAAAAAAAAGACCAGACAATCTAGTGTTCAACATCATGAGCATCGATCTACGCAATTGGGAACCGATGACATGTGTCAAGCAAGTCAGACAGCCTGACCCCCTGATCCCGTTAGTTGCCTCTTACGACAAGCATGTGTTACTGAAGATCAGTTCTAAACCGGACCTTAACGGGTGAATAGATTGGAAATTCAGAAACACCGTAACACATGCCTACAGAATATATACGTCACGTTTTTCAGTATCACTCAACTGGCAATATGTAGTTGACGACAGTGCTTGTGTCATCGACACAGACATCCCGCACTTGTCGGGTGTTTGATGGCCCTCCTCCTCCACCTTCGTGTCCTGCTGCAGGGAAACAGTCTGCCAAAACAGGCATTGGAGAATCACTTCCTTCTTCTGGGTTCATGATAGGCTGGTGACTCCTGTTGTCGTCGTCCTCAAGTATTTCACAATACCCATGGTACTCAACAGCGGGGGTATCTTTGTGTTCCTCCACACTGTCGGGTAGAGGGAAGGCCGCTTGGGTGCCTCTGTGAAGGGAGAAAATATGTGTTCATCCTTGTAACAAAAGAAGTGGACTCATTTATATTATTTGAGTGTCAACCATTTTGCTTTATCCTGTCACCCATAATAACAAATGTTATACTTATGAAGCATATTTTTCAATTTAACGTCATCTCATTTTAATGTTATTTTATTTTAAGGTCATCACTTTTTAACACACTGAGTCTGTCATTGTCCACAATACCGATATATTTTCCAGTAACGTTCACAAGCTCAATTTGTTTCGTATTTTCATTCCTACTTTGTAGAATTCACAGGGCGAATTTAACAAATGATAGCACATGTGTCCAGGTAACACCCTTGTGTATAATGTATTTTGCTCCAAGTGTGGTACATGCTTATCTGACAAGTCACAACTATAAACACTTAAAATTAGTACAGTGTACTAACGGGAATTGCCATTGATAAACGAGCATTTCATATCAGCTCTAAACACAATTACATATAGCAACTGCAAAGTGGCAGTTGTGTATGTTCATGCACTTTGATAAACTACTAGGTTTGACCAAGAGGTGACAGTAAAGCAACAAAAATGAACACAATCTCGGTAAACCAAAAGGAGAGTCGATCAAGACCTAAAATCACTTTATTGTCGATGTTTCTATATGTTTCAACAAGGCGCAATACTGTTTTCCAGTTGATTTCTACGAACTACAGGTAATGTAAGGGTTGGTTGGTTTGTTGTTTTAGTCACATTTAGCAATTTACAATTTTTATGGCGACGGTCTGTAAATATTCGAGTCTCCACAAGACAATCCAGTGATCAACAGCATGAGCGATCATCTACGCAGTTGGGAATCGATGACATGTGTCAAAAAAGTCAGCAAACCTGACCACTCGATCCCCTTAGTCGCCTTTTACTATAAGTATTGGTTGCTGAAGACCAATTCCAACCCAAATCTTCACTGGTTTGGTAATGTAAGGGGAGCACGACATGCACAAGAAGACAGAGCCAACTGTTTACTTCTGTTATGATCTTACCTGTCACATCTCACGACATTTCGACACCGGTAGCACACTGCCATCAACATCAGAAATAGAAGTGCTGATCCTGTTGAAAGTCCTATTGTAACAGCATCAGCAGCTTGTGTAGCCCCATCTAAACAGACATAGATATACATAATGTGTAATTGCTGACAGACTTAACTTTCTTCTGAACAGAGAAAAAGAATCACGATACGCCAAATGGTCAAGATTTACTATTCACACTTTGCTAAGGATCAAATCATGTATTCAACAGAAAACTATGATGTGAGGTCCAATTTGGTTTAAATATTTAAGCTTTTTGTAAATATGGATCGTAGGTTTCAGTATGTCATTTCATCTTGTGGATCCCATAACTGCTATTGACAGGTGTTGTGTACTTGTCAGTGACTCGTTCCATGATATGCAAAATGGTCGATTGCTGCCGTGAAAACCATGTTTATGGTTACTGATGTATCAAGTGAATAAGGTTAGATTAAGGTGACTGTGTGCCTCAAGAGGGGTTACCCTCATTATTTATCCAGTTTTAAATGGATACAAGCTCAAAATGTAAATCTACGTGTAAGTAAAGTTGTGAATTTTTGTGATCCTTAGCAAAGTGTGAGAAGTATATAATGCTGAGACATTTTCTCTGTTATCGTAATCATGACAATCAAAACTAAAACTAAATCTATCATCAATCATAAACCTGTTAACAATTATTACTTGTACCTAGAAATTCCATACTTACATTGATTGGAGCATTTACATCCATAGATACACTTTCCGCTCTTCTCTTGGCATTCGGAACTAGCAGCTGTTTCGGTCAAAGAAATGTGGTTGACTCGACAGTTTTCACTGCAATTCTTACTGCAGAAAGGACCATAAAACCCAGGTAGGCATCCATGGAAACAACGAAAGTTGAATGGTTTTATACATCGATCACATGAATACTCGCAGGTCCGGCCGAAATATGGCGGATGGCACTCCCAACATGCCCCTGATGTCCTATCGCATGTTTTGCATCTGTCAGAACACGTCTTGCAGTCAGATCCGTAGTGCCCATCACTGCATCCAGACACACGGGACACAGCGTCCAGATAACAGTACTCTCCATCACAACCACCTGGACATTCTGTACATCCACCGCCTGGACTGTCACATGGTATGGGGCACCTCCTGCCCTGGTATCCAGACGCACATCCTTCGGAACACACACCAATGCCAGTAGCTGAAGAGCAGCATATGTTTCCCTTGCACGTCTTACTGCAGACAGATTTGCACATCAGGCCGAAATAGCCATGGTCACATTGTGTGAGACACTGTCCCGAGATGTTACTACAGCCTGAACAGTGCTGACCGTCTCTGCATGGTGCAACTGGAACAGATTTCTGAAAGTATGTCTCAAACTAGTTTGTGTAATGATAGGGACAGTGGGATAGCCCCCGTGGTTAAAGCTTTCGCTCGTCACGCCGAAGACACGGGTTCGATTTCTCACATGGGTACAATGAAGCCCATTTCTGGTGTCACTCGCCGTTATATTACAGGAATATTGCTAAAAGCGGCGTAAAACAAAACTCTCTTACGCACATAATGAGAAAGATGTCAATAATAGTGATATGATGTAAACAATAGCATTATGTAATTGAAGTGTTATTCAGTATATAGCAATGTTACAAACTGGATTTACCTTGTGAGATCCCAAGCAAGTGACAACAGCTCCAATATTTCCATGCTATTTTCTTTCTGAAAAAAAGTGGAAACACAATTGTTTCTCAAAAATGTTAAGACAGCGTTGTATGTAAAATGAAATGTATCCAGAACTGGGGGAGAGTTTTAAACATACACAATGAACACACGAAAATCACGACATGACCTTATGCTTGTAGTTTCAGATTGGCGATGTTTGGGCTTGATTCCATGTTCCTTGTCAGCAGGAAACAAAGCACACTATGTTTCGATGCCATTCCAGTTTTTTCCGGAAACATTTACTATAAATAAAACATCTTGGTTTCCGTACGGGCCAATGTTTGCTTTAACATGCGTCTGTGTCGGTTTCTCGGGCTTTGGGGTTAGAAACCCAGAAATCATACTGAATGTAACTCAGACATAATGATTGAATATAGGTTGTGTGTATGTTGACATCAGGTATTGAACATGTTTTAGGAAGAAATTCTAATCATTGTCATCGTTTGAAACCCAAAACCTTTCTGTTCAGACTTGCATTCTCTGTGTAACTTCTCTCACCTCCTCTCAAACATGTGCGCTTAGAGCATGTACTGTGCATGGGTTCAGCGCGTTACAAGTGGACTATTATTATTATCAATCTGCTACAAATAGGGCGGTGGGATAGTCTAGTGGTTAAAGCGTTGGCGCGTCACGCCGTAGACCCAGATTCGATTCCCCACATCGGAACAATGTGTGAAGCCCATTTCTGGTGTCCCCCGCCGTGATATTGCTGGAATATTGCTAAAAGCGGCGTACAACTAAACTCACACAGTCAGTCAGTCAGTTAATCTGCTAAAAGCATTGTCATTGCCATTGTCAGCTTCCAACTTCTTTAAATAAGTGGCGATACCCGATGAGCATGTCCCACCATCGATTCCAACTTCATTAAATAAGTGACGATACCCGATGAGCATGTCCCACCATCGCTTCCAACTTCTTTAAATAAGTGACGATACCGAATGAGCATGTCCCACCATCGATTCCAACTTCTTTAAATAAGTGACGATACCGAATGAGCATGTCCCACCATCGATTCCAACTTCTTTTAGTGACGATACCCGATAAGCATGTCCCACCATCGATTCCAACTTCTTTAAATAAGTGACGATACCCGATAAGCATGTCCCACCATCGATTCCAACTTCTTTAAATAAGTGACGATACCCGATGAGCATGTCCCACCATCGATTCCAACTTCTTTAAATAAGTGGCGATACCCGATGAGCATGTCCCACCATCGCTTCCAACTTCTTTAAATAAGTGGCGATACCCGATGAGCATGTCCCACCATCGATTCCAACTTCTTTAAATAAGTGGTGATACCCGATGAGCATGTCCCACCATCGATTCCAACTTCTTTAAATAAGTGGCGATACCCGATGAGCATGTCCCACCATCGATTCCAACTTCTTTAAATAAGTGGCGATACCCGATGAGCATGTCCCACCATCGCTTCCAACTTCTTTAAATAAGTGGTGATACCCGATGAGCATGTCCCACCATCGATTCCAACTTCTTTAAATAAGTGGCGATACCCGATGAGCATGTCGCACCATCGCTTCCAACTTCTTTAAATAAGTGGTGATACCCGATGAGCATGTCCCACCATCGATTCCAACTTCTTTAAATAAGTGGCGATACCCGATGAGCATGTCCCACAATCATATTTCTGCCCGTAGTTTTGTAATGCCAATGCATTTTCCAATAACAATATACATGTATTTTCTTTGCAGTAACCTTTCCTGATTTGTAAACCTGTAACCGTTGTTTGTTGCATTTGTTTGTTAGTTTGTCAATTGTTTTGCATAACGTTTCAGGGTTGAGTTGTTGCTATATTTGAAAGTTCACGAATAGCGTTTTCGTCGTTACACAAGAAATTAATAATAATCGGCAACTTTAGCATTTTATTATCTATTTTTTTATTATTTATTGTAGTTACTACCGATATTTGTTTTGTTTTCCAACAGGTAAAGCAGCAACTTCCGCAATGTGGCTACTTGCAGTTTTGCCGGGGATCAGTGAGTACATGTGTTATATCTATATCGTAGGGGAAGATGCTTTAGCTCCAATTCAGACATCCAGCTAGGGTCCATGCACGAAGCAAATGTACTGTAAGTTCCCATAGTCCCTGGTATGGTGATCTACTTTCAGTTCTTGGCAATAGATATCCTGTTTTTATATTGTATTGTCTTCTATAGTTAATTTTAGCTTTCCATACTAGTTTTATATCTATATCTGTGATCCTCTAGTTTTTTACTGTCCTTCGGCTTTATAACTTGACTTTAGTTATTGCAACTTTATGTATTATTCAAATCCTCGTCACGATATGGCTGCAACATTGCCGATGTGACGTTCAATTTTAACTCACTCACTCACTCCAATTCTGACTAAGGGTCATAGAGCACACATGAGTTCACACTGTCTTCAAATTTTGCAAATCGATGTTACCTTGCGTCATTACTATTTGTCAGTTTTAATATTTAACAACAATTCTCTTCCAGCTTTAGCGGAGCATGACAATGAGGGATGCGACTGGGGAATATATGGCGAGAACTGCGACAGGACCTGCCCCTCCAACTGTGCCATTGTCCCACCCAGAAACCTCAGACACTGTCTGAAGCACACAGGGAAATGTTCTGAGGGATGTGTTCGTGGTTACCATGGCGACCATTGTAACATATTCTGCAGCGGAGGCTGTTTAAACGAAACCTGCAATAACGGAGATGGACATTGTACGTTAGGTTGTAAAGAGACGTACATCGGGGATTTCTGCAATGAGACTTCAGGTACAGTAATTCACGCAGGACCTAAACTTTCTTAACTGCTTTAACTTCAGAGACAATAAATAGAAAATCATAAATATGCATTTCATATATTACTTCTTGGTAGGTAGGTACGTACGTCCCAAAACATTCCAAGTGTATTTAAGTCTAACAGGATTTCAATCGTAGTATTTTTGTCATTTTAATGTATGGCTAAATCTCAGCATAAATGCCACGTCGCTAACGGCTGAAGGGATGGTGTAAATCCAGCTAGGGTCCATACAGGTAGCAAAAGTAATGTAAGTCCCCATGGACCCTAGTATGGTGATCTACCTTCAGTTGTTAGCACATTTTTACATTGTATTGTCCAAAAATAGGTTTTTTACTTTTAAAGATATCTTCTATCTAGTTTTAACCCATTTTGTGATAATCTAGCAATTTTACTGTCCTTCGTTGACAGGGTTTTATATATCATATGTATTTATTATGAATTAAGAACTAGTTTGAGTCACTATATGGTTGTAATATTGCCTATGTGACTTTAAATCTTCACTCACTCACTTACTCACTCACTAACTCACTCACTCTTGGTAGGTAGCGATTTTTGAAACACATGTTAAAGTAAGGTGCAGTGAAGATTCCAAACCTTGACATTTTATAAGGCAATTTTTAACCTTTATGTATTTAATTGCATAACATAGAAAATTGCATTGCAAAATATATTGCTGTAAACTGGGCTATTGATGGTTACGCCTTTAATTAAACAGGTTTCCGTTTTTCCTCGTTTTGAAAAGCATATACACAACCACGACAACAGCGAATCTTTCTGAGATTTTTGTCCCAATGTTCCTTGTTAGGACCATGGGTTGCTGAGGATAAATTTGAAATGGATGTTCACAGGTGTAATATTTCATGGTAACATAGACATTCATATGTGTGTTTATGGACAGCACATAATTATCACATATTAATCTGACATGCGGATGTTGTTTTTTATCGTGGATGTTTATTATTATCATCATTATTGTTTTTCAACAGGTATTTTGGCAGTCCCATCCACAGTCACGACCACGGCAGGCCCCGATGACAACAATCTTGCTGCGATCCTTGTCCCAGTATTCCTCATTATCCTCATCGTCTGTATCATCCTTGCTGTAGTGGTGTTCAGACTGTAAGTGTATATTCCTCATACTCCTCATCGTCTGTATCACCCTTGCTGTGGTGGTGTTCAGACTGTAAGTGTATATTCCTCATTATCCTCATCGTCTGTATCACCCTTGCTGTGGTGGTGTTCAGGCTGTAAGTGTATATTCCTCATCATCCTCATCCTGTATCATTGCTGTCTGTATATTCCTCATTATCCTCATCGTCTGTATCACCCTTGCTGTGGTGGTGTTCAGGCTGTAAGTGTATATTGTCATATTCCTCATCGTCTGTATCACCTTGCTGTGGTGGTGTTCGGGGCTGTAAGTGTATATTCCTCATTATCCTCATCGTCTTATCATCTGTGCTGTGGTGGTGTTCAGACTGTAAGTGTATATTCCTCATTATCCTCATCGTCTGTATCACCCTTGCTGTGGTGGTGTTCAGGCTGTAAGTGTATATTCCTCATTATCCTCATCGTCTGTATCACCCTTGCTGTGGTGGTGTTCAGGCTGTAAGTGTATATTCCTCATAATCCTCATCGTCTGTATCACCCTTGCTGTGGTGGTGTTCAGGCTGTAAGTGTATATTCCTCATTATCCTCATCGTCTGTATCATCCTTGCTGTGGTGGTGTTCAGACTGTAAGTGTATATTGCTCATAATCCTCATCGTCTGTATCACCCTTGCTGTGGTGGTGTTCAGACTGTAAGTGTATATTCCTCAAAATCCTCATCGTCTGTATCACCCTTGCTGTGACGATGTTCAGACTGTAAGTGTATATTCCTCTTTATCCTCATCGTCTGTATCACCCTTGCTGTGGTGGTGTTCAGACTGTACCCTTGCTGTGGTGGTGTTCAGGCCGTAAGTGTATATTCCTCATTATCCTCATTGTCTGTATCATCTTTGCTGTGGTGGTGTTCAGACTGTAAGTGTATATTCCTCATAATCCTCATCGTCTGTATCACCCTTGCTGTGGTGGTGTTCAGACTGTAAGTGTATATTCCTCTTTATCCTCATCGTCTGTATCACCCTTGCTGTGACGATGTTCAGACTGTAAGTGTATATTCCTCTTTATCCTCATCGTCTCTATCACCCTTGCTGTGGCGGTGTTCAGACTGTAAGTGTATATTCCTCATTATCCTCATCGTCTCTATCACCCTAGCTGTGGCGGTGTTCAGGCTGTAAGTGTATATTCCTCATTATCCTCATCGTCTGTATCACCCTTGCTGTGGTGGTGTTCAGACTGTAAGTGTATATTCCTCATTGTCCTCATCATCTGTATCACCCTTGCTGTGGCGGTGTTCAGGCTGTAAGTGTATATTCCTCTTTATCCTCATCGTCTGTATCACCCTTGCTGTGGCAGTGTTCAGGCTGTAAGTGTATATTCCTCATTGTCCTCATCATCTGTATCACCCTTGCTGTGGCGGTGTTCAGGCTGTAAGTGTATATTCCTCTTTATCCTCATCGTCTGTATCACCCTTGCTGTGGCAGTGTTCAGGCTGTAAGTGTATATTCCTCATTATCCTCATCGTCTGTTTCACCCTAGCTGTGGTGGTGTTCAGACTGTAAGTGTATATTGCTCATTGTCCTCATCGTCTGTATCACCCTTGCTGTCGTAGTGTTCAAACTGTAAGTGTATATTCCTCATTGTCTTCATCGTCTGTATCACCCTCGCTGTGGTGGTGTTCAAACTGTAAGTGTATATTCCTCATTATCTTCATCGTCTGTATCATCCTTGCTGTGGTGATGTTCAAACTGTAAGTGTATATTCCTCATTATCCTCATCGTCTGTATCACCCTAGCTGTGGTGGTGTTCAAACTGTAAGTGGATATTCGTCATTATCTTCATCGTCTGTATCACCCTAGCTGTGGTGATGTTCAGGCTGTAAGTCTATATTCCTCATTATCTTCATCGTCTGTATCACCCGTGGTGTTCAGACTGTAAGTGTATATTCTACTCTATAAATGTGCATCACTTCGCCAGTCTTCAAAGCACCAACATGCTTCTGTCTAAAAAATTAAGCGAAAATAAATCTGCCCAAACATTTATTTAAAATTATTTTGAATTACAAAAACGCAAACAAATGAAAGTGGATTATTTATGTTAGGATTAAACGTCACCCATTTAAATAATCAAACATGTACACATTTTCGTATCCTTTCAATTTTCTGTGATGTGTCATGAAAGTATTCATCACAATGTTTGCAATTTGTCATAAACGATTTAACAGACAACAATTGATTTGTAAACGAACTTATATATCCAGGCGTTTTTTGAACTTCATGAGCTAAAATTCATTCTCCACATTGTCAGTCTGCAACATATGTACTACTGGGTTTTATGGTCGCATGGGGGTTTATATTAATCTTCACTGACACTTTTAGCAGCATCTCTAATGTATGACATGTATGACATGTATGACACAGAATGTTGAGAACATGCTACCTTTAGTGAAACAACACTGTCCTACATTGTTCCAGGTAAGTATGAAACTCTGTGTAGATGTTCATAAGCATACCTTTAACACTTCAATTTTACTTCCGATTCATTTCCAGGAGATCGAGGAGAAGGGCAGAATCGAAAAGAAGATACCCCAATAACGAATACAGGTAACTATAACTCGTAAACGATAATGAATAGCTTACTTGGGTCACCGTGGAATACACTGAGCGTAAATGAATTTTGAGAGAAAAATATGAATGGTAAAGAAATGCCTTGTCATTAACATCTTAATATGTGTACATACATTGACACGACTGTTTGTATTTTTCTGATAAGATACAACGTTCTTGAATGATGAAGCCCATTTCTGGTGTCCCCCGCCGTGATGTTGCTGGAATATTGCTAAAAGCGGCGCAAAACCAAACTCAGTCAGTCAGTCAGTCTTGAATGAGCCAACTGTAAACTGAGTTTAAGCTCAAGTTGTGACCACGTGCAACTAAATATGAAATACAAAGTATAATTCGGATGTTTTCTTTTCTTTGCAGTACACCAGAAGCTGGTAAATATGCCTCAGTTCAGTCAAATTAAGATCTTTTTGGCGTCATGTCTGTCTGTCTGTCCGTGTATTGTTTGTGAGAGAGCGTGATTTTGAGTTACAAAGGGAGGTAACTCTGATTTATGTGCGCGTATGAGTGAGAGAGTGAGTTTGAGTGAGTGAATGAGTGTGTGTGAATGAGTGTGCATGCATGTTATTAGGAGGGGCCAATCTTGATGGCCATGCATGTATTGTGTGTGCGTGCGCGTGGGGTGTTGGTGGGTATGAGTGTGTGTGTGTGTGTGTGCACGCACATGTATTCTCGTACACATGTAGACCACAGCCCCCCACTGCGGGTCAGAAAATCGATAAACTAAGCCCTGGTTTACTATCTAGCCCCCTACTATATAACATGTAAAGGTTCATCACAGAAATATGGTGACATGATCGAAAACCGGACAATTACGCACACGTCAATAACAATATCGTATTTTAAAGGTCTCACAAGTATCAAAAGCTCTTGTCCATATCTCCGATGTGTGTAGGGGGCATATACATGCGCTTTCCGTGGGGATGCATTTGATGTTTTTTATTAAATCGCCAAAGACCGAGTGATCAGGAGCATGAACATGGATCTACGCAACTGTAAACCGATGACATGTGGTTTCGCGAGTAACGAACTACGGATATAACGCTTGTTCCGTGTTACAAGGAGTTCAAGGTCAAGCATGTTCTGCTTGACTGTATTGATATTTCCATCACAAGGGTTAAATATTTTAATGTCAAAACAGTGAAGGATCTTTTTAATGTGAATTATCATTTAATCATTGAATTTATAAATAATAGAATTATTTGCCAATTTTTTAAATATGGTTTGGAAATATCTTATTATTGGTAGTTTAGATTAGTAACTGAGATTGTTAGTGGCTGCACCCTCAAAGGGGGTTGAAGTATTGTAAATTATTGTCCTCCTGTGAGGGTACGTAAGTCCCAAAACATTCAAGGTAAATTTAAAGCTTCTGTTTGTTTTAATCGTAGTATATATGTTCTTATAATGTGTGGCTAGATTATCTCAAATTGCTAATAGCTGAAGGAATGGAGTAAATGCATGCAGATAGCAAAGGTGCTGTAAGTCCCCATGGTCCCTAGTATGGTGATCTACCTTCAGCTGCTGGCAATCTATAGCCTGGTTTTATGTTGTATTGTTCTCTAACATTATTATAAAAATATATAACATTCTAGTTATATTTTAATATCTGTGATACACTTGTGGTTTTACAGTTCTTCTTCCTTTATTATTCTATAATACAATAAGGAAGTGCTACTGTCACGATATGGCTGAAATATTGCCGATGTGACGATAAATGCAACTGAACTGCAAAAGAAACGCAAGTTTCTATGTTCAAAACATACGTTCCAAATGAAATCCTTTTTTAGGACAACAAAGTATACCATTATAGAACCAAGCATTCGAAGATGGTTTTGCCGTTGTTGCCGCTTATTCTTGACCATATCGCCCAAACGCAATCATGTTCATGTTTTTCGTGTGTTTTTGCATGAAGTTTTTGTGTTTCACACAAAATGCATGCATTTCACTCCAATTTGAAGCTTTATAAGGCAGGTCATTCAAAAAAACACCATAGAACACAAAATTGACTGTGACAACGCGTAGAAAACATGCCACGTCTAACTGAACAGCAACGAGGAATCGCCGTTGGAATGTTGCAGACCGGATCCACACCAACTGCAGTGGCCAGGCACTTCAGATGTCACGTGACAACAATCACAAGACTATCCGCAAGGTATCGTCAAACCGGTAATGTTCGAGACCGACCACGTTCAGGACGTCCCAGGGTAACAACGCCAGCGCAAGATCGTCACATCCGGGTTACTCATCTGCGTAATCGACAGCAACGAACAACACAGACGGCTGCAACCATTCAAGGGCCACAACGTCACATCTCTGCAGACACTGTTCGTCGTCGTCTGAGGGCAGCAGGGATCAGATGTCGCCGTCCTTACGTCGGACCGATTCTGACGCAACGTCACCGCCAAAATCGTTTACAGTGGGCGCGACAACACCAGCGTTGGCGACGTCAACAATGGCAGCAAGTGTTGTTTTCTGATGAGTCCAGATTCAACTTGTCCCACGCCGATGGCCGATTACGTGTATGGAGACGACGTAATGAACGTTACGCCAACTGTTGTGTTGTGGAAGCTGACCGCTGGGGAGGTGGAAGTCTCATGGTATGGGGTGGCTTCAGCTACCACCACACAACACGTTTACACGTGTTTCGTCAACGTGTGACTGCTGTAGTCTACAGAGACCAGGTCCTTCAACACCACGTTGTACCGCTATTCCAGGCCCAACCTCAGCTCCAGACGTTCCAGCACGACAATGCTCGTCCTCACACTGCACGGGTCTCTATGGACTTCCTCAGAGGGAACAACATTGCTGTACTGCCCTGGCCCTCTCTGTCCCCGGATATGGCACCAATCGAGCATGTGTGGGATGAAATTGGTAGACGGACACAGACAGCTGCTCAACCTCAAAACCTTAGAGATTTGGAAGCCAGATTGGTCAGGGAATGGAATCAAATTCCCCAAGCCTTCTTTCAGACACTTGTTGACTCGATGAGACGTCGTTGTGCTGCCTGCATTGCAGCCAATGGTGGTCACACGCGCTACTGATGGACACACGGTTTCGTAACATTTTTGGCGTGTGAGGGTGGAGTGACAACATATGCTTTTACAGTAAACTTGAATGTTGTTTTCACCAGAGAACTCGACTCATTTCTTCAACAATCACTTGTCTGTCGTTTTTTCGTAGTGTTACGATTGTTTGTTCCATAGATTCAGAAATATTGACATTTTTACATCAACTTGCGTTTCTTTTGCGGTTCAGTATATAAACTCACTCACTACAGGGAGTTCGTCATATCCAAGTTTATCTGCCTTGTATTATTGCTCTACAATAAGTTCTTGAGATACCTTGAGGGGCACGTGAAGGTGTTTTAGGTGAATGTAACGTCTGATAACTGATGTCATTTGCTTCTAAAAACTGAACCGTCATTGCCATTCTAGTAGAAATGTCAGGTAATATGAAGATTTGTTTATTCTGTTAAATTATGCAAGACACTTGACATGGTTGGCATATCTGGTGAATGATGAAGGGGTAAGTATTAGCCCAGAGACGTCGTGTGTAAATAATAAAGTAGTTGCACATCCATATCAAGTGTCTTGTATTACCCTACCAACTTCTAAATGCCTATCAAACATCAGTTTTGTTAAATTGTTTGATATGTTTCAGCTCCCTTGAAGCCGCACGATACAGGTCAGTATAGTGAGTGAGTGTACGTGAGACTTTGGACCATGTATGGAAGTGTTGAAGACTTACGTTTACGTATGAATGTAAAATGATAATTTCTATACTATTTTAGATGTTCTTAGCCGCAAAATACAGTGGAATAGAATCGACTGCAAACAACGTTTCATTTGATTTGTGAACAATGTATAGTGTTATAATGCCCTGAGTGTGAACATCTTCATTGGGAGATGCCAGCAGTGTTTCAGATAGTGACAAATCCCTATCTATTAGCATAGTTTCTCATCCGATAAGTTTTGCATTATTTTATTAATAGTTCATGTCTTAGAGAATATGAATATGTAGCAAATATAGTAACAATGCAGAGGTCAGTAAGGCTGTTGAACTAATTTGTTTGTTATAGTAAAGTGAATTTGTTTGATAAACATCACATCTGACAATCACATAACATGTTTCAGTTCCCTTGATAGAGAAGCAGCCTGAAGCGGTGCAGCCTGAAGCAGACCCTTCCGGTGAGTATAGTGACGTGTTGTTATTGACATCACTGAAAGATGTGTTATATTGAAAGTATATTTTAATATATGTTGTTTCAAGAATCAATAGTGTTTTCTTGTGTCCTTCGCTGTATAACATATTTCTTAAACTATGAAATTATTACTGCCATTTATAGAAACAACGTTCAGGTTTTGTGTGAATCAACTGTGATGTCTATTTTGACAGAATCACCAGGAAACGAGGATACACATAAGATTGTTCCCGACACTGACAAGCAGCTGACAGGTATATATATAAACTGCGAGTTTTGTATCAACTTTGTTTTTGTGAGACAGTTCATCTCTAACATTCCCACTTAGGTAACGGAACAAATGGTTTCCTTCAACTTCGCTGTGGTGCCATCAAGCGACAGTTCACAAATTGAGCAATTGATTTGATGGTTAATGAATGGATGGTTCCCTGAGAGAAGATTTTACTACAATGAATGGACACAGAAATGTATGATTTACTGAGTTATATCTACTAACTTCTTTCAGTGTTTGGTATTATCTCTATCTAACAGATCAGCCGCCCAGGGAGAAGGACATCAGTGACCTGTTCGTGGAAACTGAGGGTTACCGGGAGGTTAAAGACAAACTGGAAACACTTGGCCACGTGACAATAACTGGTGGTCCCGGAGCAGGTAAAACATCCGTGGCCCTGATGTTAGGAGCTGAATACAGGAGACAGGGGTATGAAGTGGTACTGGTTGAGGACGTTGGTACTTTCCAGTTGTCTGATATTCTGTCTAAGGACAAAGAGGTCTGTGTCATATTCGATGACATATTTCAGAACGTTGGGCCATCCATGGACGTACATCGCCTGAGACAAGTTCTGTATGAGCTCCATGGACATCTTGAACCCTGGAAAACCAAGTTGGAAAGAAGTTACAACATCCTGCAGCAGACACCAGGAACAAAACAAAGAAGAAAAGATCGTCTGAACTTGTATTTTATATTTACCACAGATTCCAACAACCTTGAACAAGCAAGGCCAAAACTCAACGAACCTATGTTGTTCCAAAACTCTTCAGTAGTAGACTTGACCAACTTGAAGACAGGTGAAGAGAAGAAGGCCATATGGCTGAAACATAAAGATCATTCCGACTGTAAAACTGAGGTCAACGTGGACATAATTATAGCATACGAGGAAAAGGTTGGGTTTCCTCTAGCATGCACGCTTTTCTCAAGGTATGCTTCCTTTCAAAAACGAAAAGAATCGTTTTTTGAAATGCCTAAATTCCATCTAAAACAGGAACTGCATAAGAACATAAATCACTTGGACGATCAGTCAGTAAAGTTCCTGTCAAGGTCATTATGTGGAGGTGAACAGAATACAAGAACACACCACACTGGATCTGACAACAGAATACAAGACACACACCTGAAGGATGTTTTAGACCTGGTCTCATGTTCCCATCCTCTAACACAAGACATGTGTATGTCTGCCATATTGGATACTAAACCAGAGCTGCTCCTCCATAACTGTAGTTTAAAGTTCATCTGTGACCATGTACGTGATCAGCAGCATGACTACGCTCCAGCAGAACAGACTGTCATTTATTTCCCAGGTGCTCACAGTGACGTCATTACTGCCAGGCTGGCTGAAGCTGTTGCTGATGGCACGTTCAGTAACTACATCATGCATCCCATCTGGAAAAGGAAAGAAGTGGCAGACAAAGTGCATCAAATGTTTCCAGATGACGGAACCAAGTCTCATGATACAAAGCACTGCATTCTCCATTATGCCTGTTTCCTCGGGAACAACGACATCATAGACCGACTCCTCCACCATTGTGACGTCAACAGACGTGCTGTGAATGGTTGGACGCCAGTTATGTTTGCAGTTGCTGGTGGACAGATGGATAGTTTGAAAATTCTAGTGGTTCATAAAGCTGATATCACAGTGTGTGATGCCATGAACAATAACCTGTTACATTTGGCTTGTCAATATGGAAACATTTCACTTGTCCAATATGTTGAAAAAAAGCTGAAGAAAAGTAACACTTGTCATATCAACAGTCGAGGAGTGAATGGCTGGACACCGATTATGCATGCAATTGTCACGGGCAAGAATGATCTCTTTGATTATCTAGTCAAACAAGGCAGAAGTGATTTAACCTCACGGGACAGCAACAACAGCACTGTTCTTCATCTGGCATGTATGTATGGGAATGGAACCATAGTTAATTCGTTGTTGCCATCAACAGACAAATATTGTCACGGGAAAAACGGAATGACGCCTGTGATGTGTGCTCTATTGTCAGGGAGGATGTATATGTTCAACCTACTCGTATCACAAAATTCTGACCCGTCATTGACTGACGATGATAACAACAGTCTGCTTCATTTAGCCTGCCTTTTTGATGACATACCCGACATTCTACTGACAAAGATTGACGCTGAAATTCAAGGAAATCACGGTTGGACACCTCTAATGAAGGCAGCTGTCAATGGAGCAAAACATGCATTTGACCAGCTGGATAAAGCAAAGGCTAATCTTTACCTGAAAGACGACTACAACAACAATATCCTTCACCTGGCATGTCATGGTGGACATGTTTCCATTGTGAAACATCTGCTGACAGTGTATGACATCAACAGTCGTGGGAATAAAGGATGGACGCCAGTTATGTATGCAGCTGCCAGTGGCGCAAAGGACGTGTTTGACCTGCTTGTGTCTAAGGGTGCTGACTTATCCTTGAAGGATGACTACAACAACTCTGTATTTCACTTAGCATGTGTAGGTGGGAACCTATCCATTGTGGAATGTCTGCTGCCAAAATCTGAAGTCAACAATTCGGATTACCTCGGGCAGACTGCACTTATGAAAGCTGCCGAGTCGGGACACATTCAAGTTTTCGATTTTCTTGTGTCAAAAAATGTTGATCTTAAACTGACTGACGACTTCAATAACACCGTCTTACATTTTGCATGTGAGGGAGGGAATGTAGACATTCTTCAACATCTGCTGTCAACAGCTGATCTCAATGCGAGGGGAACAAATTGCTGGTCACCAGTTATGGTAGCGGCTCGATTTGGAAAGTCAAATGTTTTCAACTTGCTTGTTTCAAAAAAAGTGGATCTCACTCTGAAAGACGACCACGGCAACAACATGCTTCACCTCGCATGTCAGGGAGGAAACATGTCGATCACAGAGCATCTGCTACCACTGTTTGACGTCAACAGCCGTGGACAGGATGACAGGACGGCTGTGATGTACGCAGCTCTGGATGGAGCGAAGAATGTGTTTGATCTGCTTGTCTCAGGGGGAGCTGATACTTCGCTGAAAGATGACCACAACAATTCTGTGTTTCATTTAGCTTGTCTGGGTGGAAATAAGTCAATAGTGGAACAACTACTTCCAAATGTTGACATCAACAGTTTGGGAGACAGTGGGAGAACAGCAATCATGAAGGCAGCTTCAGCCAGAAACAAAAATGTTTTTGATTTTCTGGTCTCAAAGAACGCCGACGTGAAGGTGATTGATGACTACAGAGACAGTGTCCTTCACTCAGCATGTAAGGGAGGCGAGTCCACGATCGTTCAGCTTGTTCTCCAAATGCTTGACGTCAATACAAGGGGAAAGAAGGGTTTGACACCAGCGATGATAGCAGCCTCGTTAGGAAACAGGCATCTGTTCAACGTGCTTGTGTCACAGCAAGCAGATCTCACTCTTACTGACGACCATGGTAACAACATGCTGCATCTCGCCTGTCAGGGAGGAAACAGGTCCAGCATAAAGCATCTGCTTCCACTGTTTGACATCAACACTCGTGGACAAGATGGCAGGACAGCTGTGATGTACACAGCCCTAAATGGAGTGAAGAGTGTCTTTTACCTCGTCTCTGAGAGAGCTGACCTGTCACTGAAGGATGATTACAACGCGCCCATATTTCATTTAGCTTGTCGTGGTGGGAACACTTCAATTGTAGAATACCTCTTACATCAGAGTGATATCAATCACCGGGGATTCAACAACAGAACAGCTATAATGGAGGCAGCTTTGGCAGGCAAAGCTAATGTTTTTCATGTTCTTGTGTCAAAGGCAGCTGAGCTGAATCTGACCGACAACTACAATGATAACGTTCTACATTTTGCATGTCTTGGCGGAGACACAGCTATTGTAAGGAATCTTCTGAAGATGATTGACATAAATGCTAAAGGACGAAATGGCTCCACACCAGTTATGCATGCAGCTTGGGCTGGACAGAAGAATGTGTTCAGCCTCCTTGTGTCACAAAGCGTTGAGATGAAGTTGCTGGATCTCTCCAGGAACAATTTACTGCATCTTGCTTGTCAGGGAGGAAACACGTCCATCATAAAGTATCTCCTGCCTCTGTTTGACATCAACAGTCCGGGAGAAGATGGATGGACGCCAATAATGATGGCAGCTCTCAGTGGAAAGAAGGATGCTTATGATCTGATTGCAGCAAATGGGGGTATTCCATCTTTGACGACTCCACAGAATGATAATGTTCTTCACGCAGCTTGTCAAGGTGGGAACAAAGCCATTGTTAGGAAGGTGATTGACAGCTTTGGCATCAATACAAGAGGTAAGAATGGTTGCACGCCTCTGATGAGAGCTGTTGTTGGAGGCCATATGAGTGTGATGAAGTTCCTGATGTCCCGGGGTGCTGACCATACTCTGGTGGACAAGGATGGACTCACCCTTCTACATCTTGCTTGTAGGTATGGCCACCATGACATTGTGAAGCATATATCAGACAAGTTCAATATAGACACTCAAGACAAAGGTGGTTTAACATGCATTATGACATCAGCGTTATATGGACAAGTAGCAGTGTTTGACTACCTGAGAAGTAGAGGCGCTGATCTGACACTGGTTGACACCACAGGTGATGACGCCTTAATTATTGCCTTTAAAGTGAACTGCAGACAAATCATAGAAACACTTACATCAGGTGGAGAGTCAGAGAGGAATGTCAAGCCATTGAATGACATAATGAGGTCAATAGTGAGGGCTGATGTGTACCATCTGAATATGTACGAACCAGACAGAGCCTAACTTCGGGAGCTGACAAATGAAACTGACCCACGGAACTATGAAAAAAACTAGTGAAATCAAGTCTTACGTACACCAGCTGAATGTTTACAGAAACAGAAAGTAACTCCGAGACCTGGCAGTTACTGGAGACAGAAAAAGGAGCAAACTCAAGATATCAATATGGAATAAAAAGATGAAGTCAACTGTGATGGCTGACGTGGACTATCTGAACATAAACA